AATCTGGATTTCCAGCATAACGTTTTTTTTTTCCATGCTATATATTTAATAGTCTCTGATTATGGGTGAGCAGAAAAACTGTTTGCAGCCATCATGAAAAGTCCTCACTTCAAGAACACCGGTGACTCCTAAGTATAGAGGAAGCGGACCCAAAAGGCGACAAGGGAGGAGGGTTCCAGTAATAAAGGGAACTTTGTTAGGGACAGGAGTGAGGACACCGAGGAAGCAGGAGGGGGAGTGCAGGCACACGCAGGTCTTCGTGAGGGAGGTGAAGAGGGAGAGGGGTAATCCAGGGATTCCATCCGGGTGCTCCAGTGAGGGAAACCCGTGCTCCGGGGATACTGTGCTCGTGACGGGTGAATCCTTTAGTGGGGGACTGTTGGGCTGCTGCTGGTGGCTCACACGAGAAGGCTGGGCTGGAGTCCAAACCTGGAACCCCAACAACAAGAAGAACAAATCAAAATGCAGAAGTTATCTAGTGATATTTTCTGAATCATTCATAGTTGCATATCGCAATGCTACTAAACCAAACATACAGAGTACTTTTTATTATGAAATACTCGGTCACAAAATTGATAAAAAGGTTGTTTTTGTTTCATATGGGCATACTTTTCATTTTTTAATGTTGAAAATCCAGATCGCTGTTCTACTTTGATTAGGCTTTATGTCAATGTTTCTGTTATTGTGGTTCAGCCTTTAATACCAGCTCAATCAGTTGTAAAAGTCTAATGAAAATAACCATCTTTTTTCATTTTAATGATCAAGTATTTCATATTAATGAGTAAATTATTTATTTTCAGTTGTTAAAGATGAGACTTTTCATGGTGGCTTTAATTTTATTTTTTTCATAATTCAACTCACCAATAATTAGAGACAATCTGTGTGTCCAATTTTACAGATTCTGAATTACTGACATGATGAGAAGTAACCGTGAAAACGTCACACTTTTATCTGAGATGGTTCCTGAATTATTGTAATCCAAACATAGCCTCATGTTTCATTGTGCAAAAACAAAAGTGCCTTAAAAAGTATCTCAGAAATTAATTGATAAATGAAGCTAAAGGTTCCCAAATATCTTCATAAATATCCAATTTCTATGCCATAAAAGCTTTGGGCAAATCAGAGATGATTGAGCAGAAATTGTTCTAAAATCGTGATGATTTGTAGCTCAGTGACCCATGAACACATAAAAAAGTTTGTGTTACTATAATCACATTCTCATATCAGACTGCATGTATGTATTTATCTCCTCCAGATGCTCCAAAGCCTCCCTCTGTGTCAGTGAGTCCCTCTGCTGACATAGTGGAGGGACGTTCAGTGACTCTGA